AAAGTGATTATAGCTGATATCCATTTTATTATTTGGTAAAAATTTCTTTTATTTGAATAAGGAAAGATAAAGGAAATTAGCTTTGTATTATGTAGAAAACTAAAATAGAACTGGTGATTTGATGAAATAATTAAACAGCTAATTAACTGGCAAACTTAAATTCATAAATAAATAAATATATATTTTTCAATTTTTGAGATGTTTTTCGGAAGTTGGACGAACAAACGGTGTGCAAGTGCTATCTTTGGACGATGGTTGCTTGGAGTACACAACAATTATTCATGAAATGATGCATGTTATCGGATTCTATCACGAACACGGTTAGCTTCCGGTATTAAAGTGGAATAATTCACTTCCGGAAACTCGTCTTGCAAATAGAAATTCGTGGAAAAAATTGTTCATGAAACAATTCTCCTCCATCAAATTAACTGATTCGTTTTTACGGAAAGATTAAGTAATTTTGAGATTGAGAATCAAAATATTTCTATGGAGTTTTAGTAAAACAGAGAGGAAACTAAACAAGCAAAATCGGTTTATCGATTTATGAAAGATAAATTTTAGAAGTCAACATCAAAATAATGTCCTCAAATGATGATAACTATCTCAAATATATCAAAAGATGAGATTGTTTTTGCATTAGCAACAAATTTCATAGTAAACAAATTTAATGTAAGCAAAAAAATGGTTTGAGTTTACAACTGTTCGAATTTAAATGAGAAAATCATGCAAAATTTCCCATATATTCATAAAACTTTTACTAATTCGGACTTTCCGAAATGTAAACATAAATTTTTAATCTAAAAATTGAATTGATTGATTTTTCCATATTTACAGAACGGTGGGATCGTGACGATTACATCAATATTTTTTGGAAGAATATCGATCGCAGTATGTACCAATAAATTTTATTTTTTATTAAATTTTGTTTAACTTATCATTTTTATTTAACGCACAATCTATAATTAACAGTTTTCAAAACAATCAGAATATTTCAATTTTATAATTGCTTAAAAAAGTTCAACAATATACTTTATTTGTTTTGAAAATTTCAAATATGAAGTATAAAATTATTAAAATAACAATGGCAAAATTAACCTTAGTTCTTCAATGAAAAATGGAGAGCTAATTATTATTTGTTTTTTTACTCAACTTGCTTTCTCTACTATTGTTTTCTCAAAATTTCTATTATTTGAAAGGTCATTTGACAATGAAACATAGCCTTTCGGGTAATGAGAAACAAATTTTTTTTACACATTTAATACATTTGATGAAAATCACAACGACAAAAACATCATCGTTTATTTTTGAATACAATTGCTATTTCTGTTAAATGATAAACGTGTTAATTATTAGGTTAACACAACTGACCAATAATTTTCATGGAAAATTCAATGATTTTTTTTAGCAGCAATTGATCAATTTGGAAAAGTTGATTTAACGAAAACTTCATATTATGGACAGCCGTATGATTATCATTCCATTCTGCATTATGACAGTTTGGCATTCAGTAAAAATGGCTTTCCAACGATGCTTCCCAAACAGAAAGGTTATGATAAATATTTTTACAAAATAATTTTTTATCAAAACTGTTACTAAAACTGGTGGATGAATTTAAGTAAATTTTTTTAAATCAGTGATTAATGAATTAATTGTAACTTTGCATACATCGGTTACATTTATATGTGAACATTAAAAAAAAATGATTTGTGTTGCAACTTTCATAAAATTTCATTTAATTTTTCTTTTTAACATTAAACGATACTTTTAATATCTCAGTTTATTTCAAACTTTTATGAAATTTTTTTTATTGATTGCACATTCAATCAATCAATTTGATAAGGGATCGGGTGAGACGAGGAACTTATTACATATTCAATAGTTTCCTTTTATACATAACAAATTTTTAGTTATCATTACAACAGCAATAATAATAATTTATAGGATTTGCAACAACAATCGGTAATGCGAAAGATTTTAGTGAAATTGATTTAGCAAAAATTAATCGAATGTACGGATGTCCTGAGGCGTACATTATTTCATTACAGCCGAGAGCTCAAGTAATATTTTATTGGAAGTGAAGTGTACGATGCAAAATAAATTGATTTAAAGTTGTCTTCATTAGATATTCAAAATAATATCATTCTTTCATTTGTGATATCAATTGCAATTTGTAAAGGAAAGGGAAAAAAGATAAATTGACTCGATATCAATTGCAATTATAATTTAAGAGTTGATCCTCATTTTATTTTATATTTCATTTGCATTTGAAAGTTTTTTTGTATTGTGAGTAAAATATGTTATCATTTAAAAAGATGAAATTTCTATAGAATGCTCCAAAACTTTCATGTGTAATTGAATAAAACACTATCACCATTAACAATGTAATTCATCGCTGATATTCATAAAGTTTGCAAATTTGAGGATAATTCTTTTTTTGATTTTGTAATTTAGTATTTAGTGTTCTTGGAATAGCAAGACAAGATGTAATGTTTTTCAATCTTAATTTGATTTTTATTTTACCCGTGAAGGTAATTTTGTTATTTTATTTAAGAAAATACAGAGTTTGTTACTATTTTAAAGAAGAATTGAAAAATTTTGCAGAGTTCAATGGTATATTCACCAATTCTAAAACAGCAAAAAGTACCGCCTTTGGATAATCGATACTTCGATGAATTTTCTGCAAAAATGGAACATAAAAGTAACTACTAACTTTAGTCGACAATTGTTTAATTTTTTTTCCTTGTAGTAAAATAAACATAAGGGGAATTGAATTAAACTAGGAATGGAAATAAAATAAAATGATTGATTTGTTTTGCAGATTGCAAGGATCGTATAAGTTCATGTTGGATGACCCAGGATCGATGTCATTCTCAAGCTTTATTTATACTTATGAAGACGTTATGTGCCAAAACTTGCAAATTATGCTAGAATCATCCATTTTCATATCTTTTTTTTTTCTTTTGCTCTAAAAAGTTCTAATGAAATTTCTATGAGCTCCTTTTCACTCTTGGTCTCCATTCTATTTTTTTGTCTGCATCAAAACTGTTCATTATTAATCATTCAGTTATCCAATACAATTCATTTCCTTACAATGACTATTATGTTATCTATGATTAAAGCCATATTTCAGATTCACCATAACGGTTAAAATACCAGCCATTTATTGGTGGCTTCTGAATCTGAATTTTGATATAAAATTTCTCTCATTTGCCTCATGTATCCCTTCTTATATTCTCAAATGAAAGATAACGAATACGTTTTCTGCTCTCAAAATATTCTTTGCTTCATGCCAGCAATATTAACTTGCTTTTGAATGACATTTCATATATCCTTTCTACTTCCAGAGATAGATTAAATCGTTTCCAACTTTCCTTTCAAAGGCATAAAATTGATATACGAGTTAAGAATTTCGATAAAATTTCTCGGAAATTACCGCAATTACATATTCAGAAAGGCAATTCATAATAGATTTATGGTAACCTCAAATTTCTATAGTTCAAAATAAATCCATAGAAGTTGCATGGTAGAAAACAGTTCACGAATAAATATCCCAAATTTCAAACATAATCGGTAAGAGTAATTCTGGTACTTTTACTTCCATAAGTATTGCTTTAAAAGATGATGCAAAATAGCTTCTACCTTTATTTATCAAAACTTTTCAGCACTGTTTACCAGTTTTTTGCTGAGAATTATTAAGCTTTCGATTCAGAATATGAATAGCTCGACCCGGAATTATTCCATTCAATTTTTTCAAATCTTATTCGCCATATATCTTTGCTTTACCATTTTTTTGTACAAAGTCTTCACGATGATTACTAACTTTTAATGATTTGAATAACGTTATATCCAAATTTATTTTTTCGATTCAATATTAAAAGGCTTCCGCATCTTTTTAATAATATCAAAAGAGATCTATTTTCGAACTTTTTGTTACTGTCATTTTCATGCGACTAAACTTAATGACTTTAATCAAAACTTTTGATGAATAAACGATTTGAATGGAAAGTAATTTCAAATCTTCCTTACGATGGAAATCTGCAGTATAAGAAAATATTTTGTTGGCATAATTGTATTAATTTATTTCAGAAAATGCGTTCAGTTAAAAATTGAAGTTAGAGGAACTTTATACAAAAAGGATGATAGTCAAACAGATTTTAAGGTAGTAGGAAAACTGAAATTTCTTGTTTCGATAAGAAACCGGCATACAAGGAAAAACTTAATTTTCCGAACTTTTGAAGATTCTCTAACTTTTCATAGGAAAAGAAAAACAATTCTGAGTCATGTATTCCAGAGTTACACATTAGCTCACTCTCGACAACTGAAAGGCTACGAAACACATCGCACAAACAGTGGAGATAAACAAACGATTAACTGCGGCTTAGCATTGAAAAATGCACTACTTAGAAACCAATTTTATTTTTCTATCCGTATTGCACTTTTTAAAAGAGGGGAAGAAAAGAACCAAATAAATTAAAAATAACTCCTTTAGGATTCAATCCCTGAACAAAAGAGATAAATTAGAAAAAAAATGATTTGTATTTCAAAAGTATTCATGAATAATGGATTACCTAAAAACCCAAAATTAAGATGAAACTAATGGTTCTAAGCTTTCAACAACTTCCTTGAAAAGAGAAAAAGGCACCGCAGTGAATTTTTTGCAAATAAGATTGTAGTTTTCCAGAAAAATCGCAGAACAGTGCTATGTACAAAATATGTCGGATGATAGTTCCTATTATGGATATTTCACTGGATTCTTCATAATCCTAAAGTATCCATAACACTAATAATTGTAGTTAATCAGTAGGTCATGCTTCTTTTTCATCTAAAAAAGTGTCGAAAGGACAATAAAATTTACGCAAATTTGGAAAGAAGTTAAAAAGAAGCCCTGACCTGAAGATTGTACAATATGAAACATGGAGATCAGCTTAAAACTTCATCTAACAGTTTCAAAATCAGAAAACACAAACAAAAAAATGAAAGCTGGAATTGAAAAAATTACCTTACTGCAAACCAAATCCACGGCTATAGCTAATTGCTTTGGTAATACGCTCTCTTGTTATTTCAAGATCTCCATAGTCGGGTAATAACATTACGTTATAGCAGGTATGAGCTGTTGGCAGTCTGAAATGAACAGACAAGTATTGCGTGAACCACTAAATGTTTCGAATCTCAAAGTTACTTTGGAATTCATAAGATAATTAATTGCAGAAGCTAAATATAACATTAGACCAAAATTATTTTTGAAAAGAATTAACAATCGCAAGTTTATGATAACAAACTAGTTCACTCTGAATAGCTTAATAAGGCATTATTATTATGCTATAAAAAGAAGAAATCCAAAATATTCCTGAGCACATAAGAACATACCTTTCCTTATTATCACCATTCCGAGCAATAATGACTTCTAATTTTGCCAAGCCCCCTACAGGGACTCTATCGGAACCCGTGATGAACTGAAGTAACATTTTCTTTTCTTCCGTACTCATTGCCTTTGCCACTGTCCAGAAATCCTGAAAAAATCCATTAATTTATAAGAAATCCATTAAAATTAAGAACCTAGCACATAACAGCTCATACCTGCTATAATGTAATGTTATTACTTGACTATGGAGATCTTGAAATAACGAGAGAGCGCATTACCAAAGCAACTAGTTATAAGCAGTCATATAAAATTTAACTATTCTAATATGCTCTCAAGTGTCGCCACAAGACCAACCTTTACTGTTTGACTGGTTTCAGTAAAACCGTTCTGATATTTTGTACATTGTGCAAGTATGTCAAAATCCAAATCCTAAAATATCTTATAGAGAAACATGCGTAAAATTTAATAAATAAAATACTTTTTTTAATTTAAGAAGAGAAACCGATTAAAAAAAACTCGACAATTTGTTATAGATGATTATATTACGGAGGATTTCACTTACACGACAACATATAAACAAGTAAAAGAGAAAATGAAATTTCTTTAAATTTGAAAAGTTTATTTCGAATAAAAAGAAAAAAAAAGATATAGAGAAAAGAAACTTACAAGTACACCACAAACTAATTGTTCAACTTCATCAGGCATAAATAATCTCCTTAACAATCCACGGTTAGCTACTTTGTTAAAACCCATACTAAACGCATCAAACTGTCGTTTTACCGAACGATTTAACAAAAAATCAGCATAGCAAGCTACAAATTCCTGAAAAATACTTTTTGACCAGGCACCGATACTAATGCTCGTTCTATGATTCAAAAGTAATAGCAATTATTTGTTTGGAATTATGTCAGATTCTAAAACTCTACAACTTTACTGATTAGAGCAGTTAATACAGAACATAAATGCATTAAATAATCTTGAAAATATGCTCAAAGATCATTTGAAGTAAACATGCTCAGGGAAATATCAATTTAAACAAAAAGACAAATTTCGTAAATAGTAAACTTCATGATTTATCCTGGATAAAAGTGAACAACATAAAACTAAATAACCTTTTTATTAGCGAGTGTTACTGGTATATTTGCACCATTTGGCATTAGCTCCTCATCATGGTTACAACCGTAAACATCTTTGTATGAAATTTGAAATGTGTAATTGTAAATATTTTCCACGTCATCATTACATTCAAGCAATTGTCTTAATCCATTGTATAATTCCTAAAAATGAATTTGGATTTGCAAAGCAAAGAAAAAAATATTTTCTTTTAATTTAATTAAAGTGGGCCAAATAACTAGATCTCAAAAGCACTTACCGGATCAATTTGAGCAAGTTCGTCAAAAACGGCTGGTCTTGCAAGTAATTTCACATAGACCAATGTCGGAAAACGCACATCAATAAGAATGTTATTATATATAGCTAGTCCAAATAACAGTCCGATTAATCCGAATTCATCATCACAAAAGTTGCATTGGGAATTGAACCAATACAAACCCGTTTTTTCATTTAAAATGAACATTCCTAAAATAAGCATGAAAATAAAGCAAAAAATAAGCAAAGCAACGTAGCATAAAGTTATGGGAAATGAAGTGACATGCAATGAATAATGAACAAAAGCAAGAATGTCTGGGAAGCAAATTATTATATGAAGAAAGACGTTACTGATTCAAATAAGAATAAAAAAAGCATTCAATTTTTCTACAGTTCTGCATATGTCTCTTAATATTCAAAAATGGAAAATAAAACTAATAGAACCAACCATAATCAGGACAAAATAATTGGTCAGTTATTAGCTGATAGAACTCTTTTGACACACCTCCCTCGTCTACTGCTTGTTCACCATCAAATTGGATCCGAAGTTGCTTTTTGAAGTTAGCTGAATTGTCCATAGCAATTGCAGCAAGCTGGAAATGACACACGAAAATTGCAACTCCAACAATCCAGAAATAACGAATGAAGTAACTAGCTACCAAACAGCTAAATTTATCAGACAGTAATCGACAGATTTCTGATTTCCCACTTAAAAAGTCAACAACAGGATTCGTTTAGAAATGAACTTCACCCATTACCAACAAAAGTGAACATCAATTGACTGAATGCAGGACACATGCAGTTCCAGAGTGTAATTTAATATCTTATTCCATTCATATACTAACTCTTAATTTTTAATTAGAAGACTACTTAGTTTCTATTTTTTAATAATGATTAGTTTTTCGTGAATCAGTCTATTTTTCGCTGCAAAAGAAAATTTTTTGTATCCGTGACGTAGTTTATAAAATTGAGTAATTACAAGATGAATATTTTTCATAATGTTGCACAGAAAAAAAAAGTAAACTGTTTGATATTATTCACGGCTAACGTCAACTTTGTAAAAAAGTGTAATAACGAAGTGTTTAAAAAAAACCAATAATCAACTTTGTTAAAAATTAAGGAAGAAAGAACCGTACGCTATCTAAAGCATCCCTTATAATATTATCACGACGAATGTTTAACTTCAAATACGGTTCCATCGAGACACCAAATGTTATAGCATCAGCCAATGCTTGTCGACGTTCAGTTCTCTGACGAATTCGATTATTTAGATAAAGGAAACGTTGTTTCACTTCGGTTGTTAATATGAATGAATATTCAGGCATCACCGAAAATGCATGTCCACTCTCGTACGACTAAAAAATTAATTAGTTTTTGTGTATAAAACTTTTGTGTATAAAAATTAATTGTTTGTATATAAAACTCTCACAAAGTAATATTTTAATAATAGGTCGAAGACATGCTAGCATATGTTCTAAAAGTTCCAAATCAAAATACTGCTAAATGCTGGTAAGTTCAATTAAGGCAAAAAAATGCATCCCAGATAATCTGAAATTATGACAAAGCATGGAACAGGTTAGAGAAAGACATAGGTAAATGTTACATTCGGCACACGAAGACTATACCTTTTGATATAGATGATGTCGAAAAAATCTTATTCATTTCGATGAATACAAAATTTTATGTTAAAAGTAGCAATACAGAACCTTATATGCAACGAAATCATCCTGAACTGAAATGTTATCACTCAACGTTGAATTCATCAATTCTGTTAAGGGTAAACATGTTTTCGTTACTAGCCATGCATCAATCGGCACCTCCTTTGATAACCGGATTTCCTCTTCTTCGTCTAGTTCAATTCCTACAAATGAATCTTTCCCTAAATAAAAAAGAGCAACAAATTGTCAGCAGGGAATCAACAGAATCACACATTCCTGGAAGAGCGACAAATCACAAGGTCGACTTCAGAATCGAAAGAAGTTAATCAAAATATAAAAATTATATTATTCTGAAAATCATCAAAATAAAACAGGCAACAAACCATTATAAGTAAACGCCTCAAGAAATGACGAAAAATTTTGCTGCCTGTTATTTTCCCGTGAATCCATCCCATTACCTGAAGAAATGCTGACAATAATATTAATTACTTGTATAATCACTGAAGACATAAAAAAAATCTTCGGAAGATAACTTTCCCTTTTTAAAGAAAGAAATAAATAAGGTGATTGCTAGATAAAGTTCATATTGACCTGTTATCTTCAGATACTTTTATGTGAGGAATACGCCGAAGACTTTTTATCATTAAAAAATTTTTTTATTAACCAGTGGGCTGGAAAAAAATTGTGGAAAAAAAATTATTATCGACAGTAATAGTTGGAAATTTATTCAACTAAGTGCAACTAGCCAATATCTTTTCACTTTTTGACAAAGTAAAAACAATTTTTATATCAGCTGTAGAATATTAATCACAAAATATGAAAAATCTTTCAAAAAATGATAAGTAAATGATATATTATCAAGTAGAAATTGTTTTAAAAAACGTACTAGTTTCTGCATTTACTACTGACAGGTTTGTGTCATGGACATCTATAATTTCATTCGTCGTAATGATATCTACAAAGAAATATTAAAATAAATTATAAAAAAATTTCTGTTACAGAAAGTCAGAAAATTTAACAAATACTACTAAAAATTCAAAAAAAGAAAACATATTACATAAAACAAAATTAAATTAACTTCAAAAATACTCCACAAACTTTACAGCAAAATCATTAATTTATCAATTTTTAAGACCAAGAAGGAATACAGTAAAACATACCCCAAGGCAAAATCATATCGTATTTAGATCTGATTAAAGTTGCCTTATATAATAGAGACAAGGCTTGAATCGCAGCTGGTAAAGGTTCAATCCGATCGGTAAAAAGTGGCAAGCTTCCAACCGCATCAATTACAGTTAAAACACGAAGAGTAATTGCCTAGAATGAAGATCAATGTGTTTTGGGCAGTATAAAGAATCTCTTTCTGGAAAACCAAAAATTGATTTCCTGAAGAATTCAAAACAAAAGTCAAGAAATTTTATGAATACCTGCTGCATAAGGTTAATACGTTCTTGTATCCACTGGGATCCAAAACTAGCCCATACTGATGCCAGTGCCATTTGGCCTTCTTCTGATAAATTGGAACACATTTTACACAGTGGTGTGAAGCCTACTTCAATAAATTCAAGCCACTGGATAAATGGTAATTCGAACATTAAACATATGACGTGTGTAATACCAGCTGGATCACGCTCCCAGGCTCGTTCATATTGCAACTGGAAAGATTAGTTGATTCGCAGAATTAGTTCAAAAAATAAACGACACAGCTGTGGAAATTTCCCATAAAGATTAAAAAAAAGAGGTAAATAATTAAAAGTGATGGAGTGTTTAATCATGACAGAACTATATTTATATATAGTTCATTCCCTTGACCTATATATATACATAATTTACATGAAATTCCGAATTATCGGAAATGTATTCACTTCAGGACAACAGATCTTTACCTGGAAATCAATGATGCTGCAAAGCTGAGCTACTGCACCCATTGCAGCATTCAAATAATGCTTATGCTCACTTGTTTCGATGAAAAGCAAACGAAAACAATGTCGTGCTGCATCCATATCAGTTGGTGATCTTAATTCAGTCAAACAATTTTCAAGAATTTCTAATGATTTGATTGAGTTCCGAAAAGTTTGTAAAAATTAGCAAGAATTTATAAACAATAAAAAGTTTGCTTCAAGAAATAACAAATAATTAAAATTCAAACATACTTTCCTTCCTGTAGCTGTGCAATGATTTTTGAAATCTCTTCCACTGAGTGTGCAGTTTTCTCCTGTAATATAAGCAATAGTGAAAGTTTAAAAATTGGCTGTACGGAGTATAAGCAGAAAAGGAGATAAAAAAAATCTATTACAGCAAAGGAAAAAACAACATACTTTTCTTCCGAACTTTTAATTAGCATATTTTTACTATCAATTACCTCATTTATCCATCCATAATGATTGCAGTTTCTTCGAGATGTATTGTTTGCATATTGCATGCTACTTGAATCAGATGCTGATCTACAAATAAATGATTTTTCTTCGCTCTCCTTCTAACTTTTCTAAAATATCTCCATTTTTTAAAGAACTAGTATAATTCCCACTACAAATTAGTTTTCATTAATTTCTATGACAATTTAAGTACAACACAAAAAAGCGATGATGGTAAAAAAACATACCTTGTAAGTTCATTTCCTAACGTACGAGAAAGTGACATTTCAGTGGAGGTATCTGAATGAGAAGATTGAGTTACATCTAATGCTAATTCACTGATTGTCCTTTCTCCACGACTGTACTTTCGATCTATCTTTTCTTCCGTTTCTTTCTCTCCTGCGATGTTTACACAATTTCAGCAAAAAAAAGTGAACATGTTTTACAGTCCAAATCAGGATTTCGAAAACACAAAATCTACATTCAACAGTGAAAAGGAGGATTTCAACTAAATACAGTAAATAATTTACCGCAGTTAACAGTGGTAGAACAAGTATCTGCTTTAATTTCCAACTGCAGTTCTGTATTATCTACATCGGCCTGTGCTCTTCGTTTCCGTTGTGAAACTGATTGTTGTTCGGTTGATGCACCTATTACTCCAGAATCGACTGAATTCTACAAAATTTGGAAGAGATCCATTGAACAATTAAAACTAATTCTTTTTGTTCTCGATCGGTTCCCATTTGCTTTTTACCATATATTCTTTTTTTAGTGTCATTTAAAATTTTTCCATTTAAAATTATCCGGAGATATTCATTTAATAGCAAAAAATTACCCCATCTAGTTGTGTCCGAAAATTATTATTGCGGAATGAATTGAGTAACGTTATACGGTTGCCTAATGTACTTTCCAGATAACTTCTTATACAATACCAATCATCCTTTGCTCGACATTTCTCTAGCAATTTTTTCACTGTTTCTTCATTTAGTGATTCCTGTGGATCTGTTGTCTCCATCGTCAAAAATTCTGAGAATTCGAAAGTTAGAAGCTGATAAATTCACAAACATGAGCAAAACAAAACAGTCAATGATGAGAAAAAAAAACAAATAATTCTTTACCAAAATGAAAAACGATCAAAATTTGGTAAGTGGTATTAAAATAGACTACTAAATAAATTGCGAAGAATGCGAATGAGGGGAACGGAGAAAGAGAAAGAAAAAGAGAAGGATTATATGAGTTTCTGGAAAACTGAGATTTTGGTGACGATCCATTCATAGGTAAAGAATACGTTTAATCCAACTTATTAAGAAGTAACAATTGCTTATTTTTTAAATATTTCTTCTGTTAACTACGATTAAGAATTTTCAATAAAATAAAGAATTGTATTATAATTTACCCGGAAGTGGCTCGCATAATTGCGCCTTATCTCGCAAACAGATAATTGCTCGAGCTGCGGCTTCATTACTTGTCAATTTGGGTAGTTTTCCAGACGATGCACAGTTCTCGTTGGAACAGTATGACCGTCCGCAACCAACTAGTAACTGCAACAGAGTAAACGAAATTATTCTACAATAAGCATTTTTCTAGGAAAAAATATAACCATGAACTGATTTTCTGAAGGAAGTATTTACGACAGTCCAGCACGAAATAATTTCAGTCAAACTAGTTTAAATGTCGAAGTGAGGTTTAAACTATAAATGACAAATTGAATAATATGCATTGACAAACAATGAATATTAAAAGAGTATCCCGTAAACCATTTAAGTCAAACGCAGCATATTAAGCCATCATCTAGAATTCAGCAATGGTAATATCGGAAGGTAAAATAGATGTACTTTTTCTCAATTGATTATACTATGTGAAGAATCAGACAATTTGTTAAAATCAAAAATCCAACGCATATTTTAATGAACCAAATAACTAACTTGTTTATAATACTTCCCAATAGCTATTTTCATGGTTTGTGGAGGCCCATGCTGATGAGTGTCATGTCCTTCTTCATCTGATCCATTCATCTTCAAAAACCTGACTGTACTCCCTCTCTCTCCCTCTCTCTCTCTTTCTCTTGACAGCTATCTTCGGATCAGCAATTCGGAACACAGTTATGGTAACAACAGACCCAAATACAAAACCTAAACAAACACACACCCACACACACTCACGCACACACTCAAACTAAAAAATCATTACAACAAAACCGCGGTACAGTATCCTGAGTATCGTTTCGAGACCTCCTTTGAAATTAAAATTTGAACTTTAATGAAGTGCGCGCTTACTGTCACGATTAACAATTCTGAACTGAGAACGATTCAATTTGAACGATTTTAAACCTAAATTTTCCTGTGCATGGAAAATGTGAAATTTGCATACTTCTGAGATTCTTAATAAACCGCTCATTGTCGATTCCTCTCGTATGATTGACTCCTCCGAAATAAACGTGAAAAATTGCTGTACCGATAATCTTTCCGATCGCAGTTTGACGATAGTTTAAATCATTTCCGATGATAATTTGAGTCCTTCTTGACGAGGTGAATCATTTTTGAGGATAATTTAAAATGAAAATCTATGATTTATCTGTGTGGTAAACGTCTGTGCGATGGTAACATTTTGTTTAATAGTATTTGTTTTATTTATTACCCGTTTTTTTTTTAATTTGGTTTGGTTTTTGATAAAAAATATCGAAGAAAATAAAAAATATCGTATGAAATATCGTACTTATTTTTTTATCGTATGCGATAAAAAAGAGGCTTTGCTAATTTATTAATCATAAATTTGAAATAGTAAGTTTGCAGCAATTTAATTTACATACTGGACGTTTGTTTGAAAAAAAATTAAGGAAGTCAGTCATTAAAACCACCGTTCTTAGTTTTTCATTTCTCACTGTGTCAATTGCATCATTTTCCTGAGTAATTTAATGCTCCTTCTTGCGGTCAATCATAATTTTATGTGCAATTCGATACCTATTACAGTTTTTTCATTGAATTTCCAATGAACTCATACATCAGTGAATGATTTTCGGCAATTTTCTTTCGCTTAAAGTATCCTTTTAATTTACAGGGCCAAAAATAGTACTTGAACAAAAGAGGCCTGTCGGATCTCTTGATCTTCTTACCAAATGCAGAGAAATAGACTTATCGATCCTTCGAATATTCCCATATTACGTCTTTTGAATAGCAGAATTCTTTCTTTTTCTGAAGAGCTACAGGTCAATATACTTATAGGCGAAATTATTTCCCATGCACAAACATATTGCTCAGATAGTGCCGAAGTGATTTCAGTTAGCCAAAGGTGTAAAGTGCCAAAGTAATCACTTAGTTCCTTGTGTCTTTTCCGATTATTGTAATGGCTATTATTATTACAATCTCATTTACTATCTCTATTGTTCAAAATAGTCAAAGGCCATTTTGTATACATTTCAGACAAAGAAAATTTGTTTGAATTCAATAGAAATTTGAAATTCAAATCACCCAAATAATCTAGAAGAAATTCCTGCAAAAATTTGAAATTGTTCGATAGTGAGTGCCACTACCGAACAAATCTAAACTTTTGTGGCATAACTATGCAAAATGACCCTTATCTATTTTATTCAAAACAGTTGAGTAAGTCATTTTATTCAATCATTTTTTCAAAACTAGAATTTGAATGGAACAATAAAAACTGGTGCTGAATGAATTTAATGGTTGGTAGAAAAAGAAATTTATAAGGAGAAATGAAGAAAAAATAGGCAATAGGAAATGATTGTTGGAGAAAAAAATTTGCAGAATATCAAAAAATTATACAGAAATTTACAGGAACTTAAGAAAAACTGCCGAAATATGAGATGTTTTGATATCTAAACAAGACATCCGCAGATGTTGCTACATTTGTTAAATTTTATAGTCTGTTTCCAATTATCTAATTGTTAAATCTTCAAATGACAGCTTTGTTCTTCTCTACATCATCGATCGCAATAGAAAAATTTTTTATTTGAGAAGATTTTGGACCATTTTTCGAAAATAAAATTGACAAAGACAGGTTTCTTGATCTTTAATTTTGAAATTGTTTCTTCAAATACATCAAACTATAAAATTCTCGCTTGCTTCATTTAACGACAATAAAAATATCTTTGAATTAAATTAAAAATAGAAAGCCTTACACTTGCTAAAACTATCTCACTAGGATCCATTGAATGTTTCGGTAAAATTATTTCACCTAAAATTTGTACAATTGAAAGAAATTAAATTCTGCCCTTTCCGATATCTCTCTATCCACACGGGAATAAACAGTTAATTTCTTGGAATATCACTGCGAATAACAGGGCAGAAAAGTTTGTTACATGAAGAGAAGATGAGGAAATAAAGTTTTACAATAATGGATAACAAGTGCCACACTCTCGTGATTAATTTTATTTGTGAAGGACCGAACTGAGGTCCTTCCCTTCTTCATCCATGCATCCTTTTTCGATATTATTGAAAAGAGACGACGATCTATCTGCTCCGTAGTCATTTCTCATCATTTTCTTTCTTCTCCGTAAAATTGATTATTCACTGTCCGGGCTTCTAACAATTCATCCTGTCTACTATATATTATTGAAGAATGTGAAATTTTGGAAATTATATCTTTTCTTTATCGTCTTCTCTTTTGATTGTCCATTCATCCATCTGTTTGCATTTAATTTTAATTTAATTTTAGATCAGCATGCATATTAAATGTTTACCCATTCGATTATTTACTAAAAAAAATTTCAGCTGAATTTAAAAAAGATCATAAAGGAACTTTCTCATTCTCCTTCTCTTCATTTTACTGTAGCAAATTCAACTAATGATCATCGAAATGATCAAAATTCTACATTTTAACTTTCTCATGTGAATGTATTTTTTGTACATTGAAAAGTTTTTCGATATTTTCTTTCTTTCTTAATACTTTCACTTCATCCTTCTTAGTAAGTTTTATTGTGCGGAAATGTCAGCATAAAGTCGAGAGCATTCGATTTATTCGGAGATAGCCAAGAAACTAATCCGTCAACTTCGAATATGTACACTAAATATCAAGCAATATGCTATTAGGCTTCTTATTGTCATTTATGGTTTTTTATACTTTGCTAATGAAATACTGCAAAAAATATGCCAATTTGTTACTGTGTGATGCTTTACAGTTCATTGATTATTTCCATTTCCATATCAAATGAGAAAATTTTATGCAAAACGAAAATTATCCGAAAAATGAATGGTATTGATAGAAGCGATTTTGCATTCTTCAAAAACTTGCAAGAAGAATAATACGTTTAATTTATTCTAATCTACTTTCTTACTGTTTAATTCAAAAAAAATTGGTTCAAAGTAAATGTGAAGTGATACAGTGATATGTAATGATTCGAATCTGAAACTTGATTAAAACTCTTTAATCACTGAAATTTAGTTGCAGTTGCAATGTCAATGAGATAATTACATGAGTTGTCAGGAATAGCTTTCTTCTCGCTTTTATTCATTTAAATGTTTTTCGTAAAATAAAGGAATAAAATTTTATTTTATTCGTTTTTTTCCCATTCTTGATTGGCTAACAAATTAAAAAAAAAACGATTATTTATTCTAAATTGTCACCTTCTAAAAATTCAGTTCTGTTATTTTTTAAAAAAGATTTTTTTTTCAACAAAAATATTTGCTGTTTATCGTATTAAAAGTTAGAATGATAAATATTTTTAACTTATTTTTCAAATACATATTTTTTTATTTCTTGAAAAAAAATACACACACTCCCAGCTGAAAAAGTCTTAATGACTTTGGTGGAATCCAAAAAGAAAGGATGTTTTTTTCGGATTTTGTTGGAAAAAAAACAGTTCAGCTTCTGCACATTTTTGAAAATTAATGGCTACGTGCTGTGAATTATGATAAAGCTATCAATATGGAAGTATAAGCAATCTGACAAATTTTTGGAAGTTTCAAGCGCGAAAAAGAGACTCCCATTTTGTTGAAAATTTGATTCCATTGAGACCTTTTTTTCCT